TCGTCGTCGTCGTCGTTGTAGCAGTTGTAGTCCTAGCGCAATAGCAGTAGCAGTAACTGTCGCCGTCGTATAGCAGCGGCTGCTTGAAGGTCAGCTCCCGATTCCTCTTCTTGCTAGAGAGCTCAAGTTCTGCATGGGGTTGCATCGCCCTGGTTCCGGGTGGGTAGTTCCCTAAATCGTGGTCCCTTCTTAGGAACCCCAAAGTAGGACAGCACCCTTACAAAAAGGTCCCTGAAAGGGACTCAACCTAGAGAACCACCCAGCCCAGAGACTCCAATACCCCTTTAATCAAGGAATAGACCTTAAAATCATATTAGGGATCCTACTATAGTTTAAGGCATATTCCTTAAACCACCCTAAGCCCTGAACCCTAAACCCTGAACCACCCAGGTCGCACGAGTTCGACCTTCTGCTGGACACGTTCATCAGCTCCGATGGCGTGGATGAGGCGCACCTCAACCACAACATGCAGGAGTACTTCAAGGCCATGGTGCTCCAAGAGGGTTTAGGGTTTAGGGTTTAGGGTTTTCCTTAGGAGCTAATCTTCAATGCTATTTGCGTAAAAAGCACGGGGGTATATTGAATAATGTAATAACGTACAAGAGGCTTATAGAATGAAGTGACAGATCAAGTCTTGACAGCCGTTTTTATGGCTGAATAGATACCAAACCTACTCCACATGGTTTCCTGTCATAGTTTTTTGCTTATGATAACACCCTAAACCCTAAACCCTAAACCCTAAGCTCTAATCCTGGGAGGGCCCAGGGTTTCTAGCACTGCCGAGGTGAAGAGGATTAGGGTTCAGGGCTTAGGGTTTTGGGGCTGCTTGAAGGGTTCCTTTGAAGGGGGATTAGGGTTTAGGGTTTAGGGCTTACTTAGGGTTTAGGGCTCCTTGAAGGGTTCCTTTAAAGGGGGATTAGGTTGTAGGGTTTAGGGCTTACTTAGGGTTTAGGGCTCCTTGAAGGGTTCCTTTAAAGGGGGATTAGGGTGTAGGGTGTCGGGTTCAGGGTTCTGGGCTCCTTGAAGGGTTCCGAGGTGAAGACCGTCATCCATGAGGAGGTGGGCTGGTTGGAGAGGCATCGTGTGGCGTCCTATGTGCTGATGTACTTCCAGTTCCTGCAGATGGTCCTCTACTTCAATGCTCATCCTCGCTCCTGGGCTGGCTTTTTCAGTTTTTTTGGAAGAACATCTGTGAATATCTTCTTGAGGTACGATGTTTTCGAAGAGCCCTAAACCCTAAATCCTAAACCCTACACCCTACATCTTACACCCTAAACCCTACACCCTAAAGTGCCTA